TATATATATATATATATATATATATATATATATATATATATATATATATATATATATATATATACGAGTAGGTTTATGTATACGAAACGCAAAGAGTGCTCAATACCATAAAGATAGAGCAAATGTAGAATTTCGCTTACCTCAAAATTCCGCAACAGTCTAGCTAGCTGATCCATCAGTAAAGAATCATCAGGCGGTATGACAATTTTCGAAAATAGGGCTGCTTATATGTGTTTTTCCGAAACGTGGGGGTGAGTGGGTTAAACAAAGCATGCATTCAATCTATTGTTTGCGTTGTTTACGCGGAAATACCTAATCGAATTGTGGGAGTGTGTGGGTTACTATGCATGTATTTGCGTTGTTTACGCGAAATTTCTTCCTATATGTCTGCACGTAGATATAATTTCCATTCCTTTATTGAGTAAAAAGTTTTGGTTTTCTTTCAAAATACAAAATTTTTCCTCTAGACGTAAATTACATTGTTCTGATCCTCCCGTATACGAAATAGCGCGTTTCAAAATTTGCCAACTGATATTAAAATCTTTCCTGTTATCTTTCAATGTCAAAAAAGTGGTGGGGTCATGGCCCCCTTCCTCCCCTCCCAGCTACGCGGTCTCATTAGCTGATTTTGTGTATGAGCTATTGTAAACTTAAACTTTGACCACAAAGTTTAAGTTTAATCAACTTTGATTATAAGCTCAACGATTGATACGGTCATGCAGAAATAAGTGGCATGAGAGTTAAGAAAACTGTCGTGCAAACCATAACCATGCTGTTAAGTCTTTGCATGCAAGCTTAACTTGTTTTTGTTTGACGAAGCATGCATTAGAGTAGAAAAAGCTATTTTCCTTTGCCAACTTTCTTTGCCTCTTAATCTTAGCTCAGCTTTATTAAAACATTCAATTTTCTTCTAGCATTTAGTCGCATTGCGGCTGCTCTCGGAGTTGCTTTCCTGTATTATCCGTACTTTGGATGTTTGGCTTCATATCACAGAATTTTTGGAGCGTTGGTGGGGCTTCCTTACGCTGTTGCCTAGTAAGTAGTTTTGAATTTGATATACACGCGTAAAAACGCTGAGGTTGATGCAATACTGGTGAAAACAGGATTGAACAATGCTTTCCTGCCCACATTGTTCGTATAGCTGTCAACAATATCGAACAATACTGTTACACCCGATTCAGGCTCAACAATATTGTTCAATATTATTGACAAGTGTGAACAACGTGGGCAGCAAAACATTCTTCAGTCCTGTTGAGCAGCGTGCTCGGCATTTTGTGGCGTGTGTAGTAATACTGATCATTCTAGTAGCTGAATGTAAGTTGATAATGAGCGGACAGGTCACTACTCTATAATCAAACTTTCGTTGGTAGGGATGCAACTATACTTGATAAAGGGAACGCCCTTCGTCGGCAGTAATTAGTAGCGGGGATCGGAAAAATGGACCTTTCCCCTTATAACTAAAATTTTGATCTAGACAAGTCTAGACAAAAATTTTACCGGGAAATTGATGCCTCAACACCCGATTGGGCTGTCAATTTCCCGTGCGTAATACAAAATGACTGAAAAACGGCAAACTTCGCAAGGCTATATTATCCCCATTTTACAACATTTCGCAACGAAACTTTGGAATATTACTAATTTTGTGCATGATGCTCTTTCAAACTGTGATGAAATATTTGTCTATAGATCAAAATTTTAGTTATAAGGTGAAAGGTCCATTATATGAGCTTTTATACTCAATATAAAAGCGATCATGTGACATAAAATAAACCAATAAGATGAATTTAGTCAAAACAAAGTATTAAAAAAAACACGTATAACTGATCAAGCTCTTTCCATTACATGAGCAGCACGACACATAGTTCATCGGAATGTTCCATTGTCTTTAGTTAAACTGTTTTTAAAATTCCAATGCATGTTTTCCACGCCAGTCACTCACTTTGCTTAAATAAGTTTTCTGCAAACATCCTTTTATGATACTAATTACTGTAATTATTTTGTGTTCTTATTGCAGTTTTTCTTTCACATTGGCGGTTGCTCTTCAAAAGTGTAATGTAAGTTTATTTAAGGCATTGAATGTCTCATAATATAACATGTCTTTCCCTACTTTTGCTTCTGCGTCAGGGTTCAGTGTGGGTGCTGATGATCTTCTTTAGTTTGCAACTTGGTAAGACAATCTAAGCAACACCATGTTTTTCTGTTGCTTGCGCCTGTATTTTAAAAGTTCACTCGCACTCAAAGAATGGAGGTTCAATCTGAGCTTCCCTTGAGTGTCAGTGCTGTTGGAGGGTTAGTGTCGTAGCTTACTATGTGACTACTCATGCGAGTGAGCTTTTAGAATACAGGCGTTAGACGCTAAAGGCCGCTTTCCAGGTATACGCGTTTTCCATACGTCCATATACATTGAATTGTTTAATTTTCACGGGCGATAAGTACCAAGACCAGCATTCCACGCAGGCATTATGCGTAAGGGCGCAATTCCAGTTCTCGCACGAAGCTCCTCCCTGCGTGCATGCATGAGCATTTTCATCCAATCACAATGCTTAGGAGTTAATTTTAATTAGATGCAAGCACTCGCAGCGAGCATAGATATGCGAGGAGCTTCGTGCGAGGACTGGAATTACGCCTTAAGGTCTTATTGCACTCACCAGGAGTGCAATTAAAAATATGATTTTTAAAAAAAACAAAATGGCGGTCATCAATCATACAGGTGCACTTTTATGTATGACGTATATCATCATACAGACACTTTGATAACCTGTCCCTCACCTCCCATCTAACCCCTCACCCTGATGGCGGGGTGGAACGAAAGACTCCTGAGTTTGAACAGTTCTTTTTGACATCCTGTTTTAATTTATTAATCATTAGAAAATTACGACATTGGAAGAATATGTTTTGAAGATATTACCAATTATACCGACGATATTATGTCACCTGTTTATACTGGGCAAGTTTATACTTGTACTTTATAAGGAAATCAAGGAATTTGGAATATGCGGAATGCGGCTATATTCTCATAACGTCGTAAGTAGTGTTTTTCCGCTGACCTCAAAAGCATAGCATCGTGCATTGCGCGAAATATCGAGGGACAAATTGAAGCTTCCTACTAGGGGCAACTAACGCTCTCTGATTGGCTAAAATCTCGTTGCCCGGATGTAAATTCTCATTCCAGGAAGCAAAGCCGCGATATTTAGGAGGAGCGGGAAATTACGAAAATAATACAACTTTTTCCAGTTTTACCATATAGTTCAAGCAATGTCCAATGACTAAAAGCTCAAAGTCGACAAGAATACCTGGACTTTATAACGGTCGAAATGTTTTATTGTCGATTTCAGGTAACTTTTCAACACGAAGTTCGCAAGTTCATTTCAAAGTTCGAACTTTGATTGTAAACAAATGTTCATATTTGGAGTTGAAATTACTGTATAAGGCCCTATGCACATAATACTGCAGTAAAATATTGGTCCAGTGGTCTCCCAAGATGAAAATGCCTTTGTAAATAAATTTATAGTTACATTTGTTTACAATCGAAGTTCGAACGTTGAAATGAACTTGCGAAATTCGTTGCGAAGTTCCCGCCCAACCTTCCGAATTGACCATTTGCGCAATAGACTAAATTTTGATCTAAACAAGTCTAGACAAAAATTTCATCACAGCTTGAAAGAGCATCACAAAATTAGTAATATTCCAAAGTTTCGTTGCGAAATGTTGTAAAATGCGGAAAATATAGCCTTGCCAAGTTTGCAATTTTCAGTCATTTTAGATTTGACAAACGGGAAATTGACAGCCTCAAAGGGTTCGGCCGGTTTTTCGATTCTGAAGGTGTTTTCTTCGTGACTTCGGCACGTCCAATTTTTCATCATTTTCCACTATATAAAATGGTCATGCAAAACAGTCCAGACTGTTGATACAATCAGGATTGAATTACTTAAATTGTAGGTGAAAAAAGGTGAAAAATAGATTTTCCAATTGGTTTTATATCGGTGTATAACTCAAATTTGCCTCCGTTATCAAGCTTCAATTTGTCCCTCTCGTTTGCCTGAACTTTCCTGCAATGCCCACTTTATTTTTTAAAAATCTCTATGCATGCTCAAAACTATGTAACACGCGATAGTGCATTTGCTATGCATAAATGAAATCAGTGGCGGCCATACTGCAGGCGGTAAAGTTTCCGGCTTGTGACGTAGAACTGGTGTGACGCGCAAGGCGGAAAAGTTTTACTGTTCACTTTATAAAGGTGGCTCCCAACAGTTAGTACAGTTTTAGACTTCATCCTCGCGACTTGCGCGTGGAATCGTCGTGTTTACTGTTCGGCAAAAATATTGAAACAAGCCGCGGGAAGTTTTTTGGCGTTTTTATCTACAAAGAAAGCTCCAGTTTTTCGAACAGTACGTATGCTATTAACTAGTTTAACCTATCTTTTAGTGTGTTTTTACATATTTACGTTGAGTATTGTCTTTCATATTGCTCAAAATTTTCAACTTGTTGTGTTTCGAACTGTCAAACTGAAATGATAGTGTCTTCTATTAACTCTTGAACAGTAGTGAACTGTCGCCGAAATAGTGTCTTCTATTAACTCTTGAACAGTAGTGAACTGTCGCCGAAACTTATGTAAGTTCTGTCAATCAATTCAATTCAATTCAATTCACAGGTATCGTTTTATCTGCTAAATCAAATAAAACAGTTATGAGTTGTTTTATATGAAAAGTTAAACTTGAAATTTTTTTTAAACTTTGTATTTTTGTTATACAAGACGAGTGGTACAACATATCCAAATTTTAAGAAATTCTACAAGTAACTTTTTCTGTAACCGTCATTCACGAATATCTCCAAAACGTATTTGTAAATTCCCTTCAAATTTTTATATAGGTTTTTTCTTTATGGACCATAAATCTTCAAAAACATTTTCAGAAAAATTCACCGAAGGAAAATATAGATATTGTCAATTTATTGTGAAATTAGACAATAAAAGTGCGAAAGATTAAACGTCATGGTTGTCATGGCAACACGAAAACTGTTTTAATTTGTTCATAAATGGACAGCACACAGCTTCTGAACTTTCCTGGGAATGATCATATTGCCTTGTCTTAAGTATCTAATATAAATTCGGTACAAAGCGAACGTTACTCAAAATACCTAGAATTTTAGAGAACTGTAGGGAGCCACCTTAAAATGCATTTTAAAACCAGAAAAGTTGCTGACACGACAGAAAGTTTTTCCGCTAAGCGGGAAAGTTGTGGTTATGTTGCGTTCATATGGGAAAAACGTTATCTCGGTCACCGAGATCTCGCCTGTCAACAAGCGAGATCTCGGTACACGCGGGAAAACGTTTCGTCTATGACATAGTGTAACGTTTCATATTATTTTCATAACAAGGCTCTTTCTCTCATGTAAACTTGTCGAAATGTTTTTTCGCTAACCGGGATAACTTTTTCCATATGCATATGAACAGGCCCTTAGATAGGAAAAGACATTTGCTTGATAGTAATACTAATTTAAACACTTGCAAAGAATTTGATAGATTTAAAAATATTTTATCATAATATTGGATAGAAACTTTGCATAAGTTTCGCTCGCTTTCTTGGGCTAAACATGACTAAATGCATATTTAGTGAAGGTATAATTTATGCATGAATAATTGACTCAATTTGCCTCTAGCTTTTTACCTATGCTAACATGAACCTGAACGTTTCGTATCATTCATATCACATATAATGTCCATTTAGGATGAAAATGCTTCTCAGCAGGTGAAATTGATCAGACCTTGGTTGCGAAATTACGTGCACGACCTCATTAACTCAAGGTAAGAGCATGGGTAATAACGTAACTGAAAATGAAACATGAAGAACACTAGTGGCATTCCCTGTGCGTGGATTGATGATGCAGGGTGTGATAATTCAAGGTTTTCTGCCACCTTTAACTTATGCGATCGTTATAGTTCGATTCTTGCTACGAACTTATGGCATTCATGTAAAAAGAATCCAACGAAGCTCTACCAAAAATCGTGGGGTTTTTTCGGGTACTCGGTTTCCTCCCGCATAGAATGTCATCAAGGTGGGTTGGGATTAGCCCCTAACCGACCCTTTCACCGTGGGCGTAGCTGTGCTTCGTGATCAAATATGAGTCAGAAGCCGTAAGGTGGCAGCCAGAGGCGCCCTTAGTTAGAATGCGTTCTTCGCAATCCAACCTAGCTCTCAGCTGCAAGTAAGAATGATTAGCATACCCCCACTTATTGTTCTTCAATTCTTATTGCCACATACTAAAGATGGTACAAACTTAAGATATTACTGGGATATTACTAAAGATACATAAGATATTACTAAATATATTAAAGAGTTTAAGCTTCGCGTTATACATCAAACGCCAGGCAAAGAAAATTTTACGGTACCAAGGCAATAAAGAGCAAATGAACTTATGGACTTGCTTTTTTAATTAAAACTGAAATACATAATTATTCTCTCGATGCAAGAAAAAAAAATGAAATGAAAACATTCAAGGAAAAATTTTCCAAAATAGTTCGAACCTGCCGTTTGCCGTTCCCGGAAACGTGAAGCTTAAATTCCCTATTACTAAAGACGGTAGAAACTTAAGATATTACTATAGACAAACTTAAGATAAGTACTTACTGTATAGTGTTCAAGATAGAGTACATAAAACACAGTTTTCTAGAAGGGCTGAGAACTAAGAAGTACCCCCGGTATGTAAAGCCAAGACCGGATTTTGGTGGGAAAGCTGGGGGAGGCGAAAAAAATTTAGGGTAGATACAGCGCCTATCTATTTAAATGCTAACAAGGCTTAGAACGTAGCCGCCAAAAGTTAACTACATGAACGTTTGTATAAATATATCCAATGTATTTTATATGAACTATATTACTGTATGAGTCATCCAATTCTCCCTTCATTACATTACATTACATTACATTACATTAGCACAACATTTCTTTCGAAACATTGCATTAAAGGGGTTACTGCGGATCCAATATTGAAAATCCTGTTACTACTAATCAAATATTTCGCCACATTTGTATAGACCTGCCCGCCATTATTCAGGAATAGAGTTCTACCTGAGGAAAATTTACAATCCCGAGAAAAGTAAGTGCTTCAGATCCAGAATTCGAAATACAGTATCAGGCTGATACGGTGGTTTAAGAACATATCACTCATTTGTAGTTCGAACATCTAAACTATAAGTACTACATGCAGTATTTAAAACACGAGCGGGATGCTAGATCTCACCCAGCCTGGCTGGCTTGTTTCACATATTAATACAAATTGAATTTTATATGCGTTAACAAAGGCCATGCAGATCTCACCGAGGTCAGTTTCCAGGTTAGCTCATATGAACACGCCCTTAGACAGAATCGGGATAGTTCTTTTGGTTTTAATGAGTTTAGATCAATGAGTTTCAATCATGATCGAGTTCCGAACTTTTTTCCAACTTTTTTGTAGATTTTAAGTTTTCAACTCTAAATGTCTCTGTGGTCATGATCTGCTCTATTCTACTTTACAGCGTGAGTAATTTGTTTTTATATTTGAATTGGAAACGTTTTAGGGGACCTACTACACACGTTAAAACACACAAGATGTTACAGATCTGCAAACAAGTTGTCACAATTCTATTCACAAACTATCAACAAGTTGTGTTCGCGTTCTTGTAACAAGTTTGGAACAACTTGTAAAAAGCTTGATGGCAAATTATCAGACTTGTAGCGAAATTGTTCTAACAAGTCTGATACAGTCATGATATAACAAGAATGTTACAAGGTTGATCACACAAGGAGAATTAGTACATTGCGTGTACATGGAGAATTATTATATAGCAAGTGTCAAAGTTCAATTTTCCTGTTTGCCGATTGGTCAAAACCATATCACGTGCCGGTCCACAAAACGTCATTTTTACTGCATGCTTTGACGAGGGGGCAATTGGTCAACAATAAAACAGTTATTGACTGGTCAGTAATAAAACCGGAAGTAAGGCGCGAGCTGTTTGTGTCAACTGTATGTCTGCCGGTCGGTTTTATTTCAGTTTCCGAATACCAGGTGAATTATTGACACTTTGACACCTGGTATATATATATAAATTAGCTTAAAAATTAATATATTATATATTTAAAATACTCGGCGTCGGCTTTAAAATACTTTGGCAATAATACAGCTGAGCATTTTATTCAAAAAACGTAAGAATACAACCATGTCACTCTACGATGGAACATCTAAATATTGTTGGTCGTAAAGCATTAGACGTTGAAATACACAATTTGTTTTTTGTGACGTCATTTTCTTGATTACGAAAGTGAATTCCGATATAGCTACTTAAATGCGACGAATAGATCACACACATAGAAACGCACAAGTTGTAACAAACCTGCAGCAGACTTGTAACACTGCTGTTCCAACAACTTGTAAACAGGATGTGTTCGCACTGCTTGTACCAACCACCTTACTTCCCAACGGAGTTAATGGACCTTAAACCTTATTAATAAAATTTTGATCTAGACAAAAATTTCATCACAGTTTGAAAGAGCATCACAAAATTAGTAATATTCCGAAGTTTCGTTACGAAATGTTGTAAAATGCCGTCTTTCAGTAATTTTCTATTACAAACGGGAAATTGATACCGAAATCGGGTGTTTGTGTATCAATTTCCCGTTTGTAATACAAAATGACTGAAAGACAGCAAATTTCGCAAGGCTATATTATCCGCATTTTACAACATTTCGTAACGAAACTTTGGAATATTACTAATTCTGTGATGCTCTTTCAAGCTGTGATGAAATTTTTGTCTAGACTTGAGATCAAAATTTTAGTTATAAGATTAAAGGTCCCATCACTAAGGTCCATTAAGCATGTCTCACAAACAACTTTTAATGGTAAAATGTTGAAAAATCCAGGAAATGAATTCTAACGGGTTCACTATTGAATTGGAAATAAAATCCAAAATAAGTGAAAATTACGGCAATTAGTAAATTATAAATCGCTTTTTTACTCAAAACCCAAACGGATTGTGGGACGTAGCGACTGTAACTACGGAGTGTCGGAAGTCTGAATTACATACTGTATGCATGCCCATCATGCTTTTCGCGTTTAGAGGTTGAGGTTTTGACTTTGAAAGGGCAATCTTGATTGAATCCGCTGTTAATCGTTGAACTAGATACTTAGTATACATTACTATTTCCTTTTAGATTTCCTTTACACTCATGTTTAACGGCAGTAAAAAACTGGACCAATACAGGAAAGAATCTGACCAACTTAGAAAAGATGTTTATGATTTGCACGTACTAAAGGTGAAAGCTTTCCTTGGGTTCTTCGGTTAGTTTTGTTGGAAATACTTATTTTAAATTTAATTTAACACTTAGTAGGGATCTTTAGCATGTATAGGACGCCGACGACGCAAATTCTTTTTCCGTAGACAGTCGGACTCCTCATTGATAGTCGGACGCACCGAGGCCTCCGCGCGTTATCGACCGATCTCTTCGTACCCTGCGTAA